TTTTGCTTTTGAAGCTTACATGACTACACAACCTTGAGAGAGTTTATTCTCATTTCTCAAGGCCAGAGCACAACTTCCTTCCAGATTGTAGTTTTCTTTCCATAAGAACAAAATTTAAGAGATTTATTGTAACATGTCTTTCATGTATGCTTGTGGGGTTCAGTCCTCTCATAGAGTAGTTTGATCCTACTTGTAGTAGCTTATGATTTCTCATGCTAAATGCAAAAACATAAATTTAGTTGTCAGACTAATAGGATAACTCCTCAGAAAGATGGTTGATCATAACACACAAAATGCTTTCACAGATTGATGCCAAGAGCCTTGAACACAGTAGATTTATAGTAGCAGTTGTCACTAGTTCAAAGTAAATTGATCACAGAACAAATTACTATTAAAGTGGGACACTTGTTCTTGCGAAGTGTTATCATTGTATCTCATGCTCTTAAACTAATCTTGTCCCATAAGGGGGATTATATGCACTGGTTAATAGTCTTTAAGAAGAAAGGACAATTTAATGAAAATCTAATGAATTGTAGGGTTAACTTGAGGACAACAGTGTACTTTTGTAACTTGTTACCATGTACTGTTCATAGATATGCAGTGCAAGTAGCATGAAATGAGAACAGTTAACATACCACGTGGTTAATGTTTAGCAAAACTGTTTTTGAGGTTTCTTCCCACACCTAGGAACATGCTCATGAAAAAAGCTTCCTTAACTACTTCTTAAAAGTGATTTTTATGTCCAGTAATTAAAACAGCATTTGGATTAGTAAGTGCATCTAATTGATTTTCTTTACCATATTGCAATAAAACACACCCAACCCGCTGAAAATGCTATATCTAGCATACATTTGCATATGCAAAACAGTTCTAGATTGTCATTAAAAATATGGTAAAAATCAGGATGACTTGTGTGATAAGCATTTTAAAAAGATAATCATGGATTAATGAAGACAAATTAAAATAGTACTTGTTAAAACAAACTAATACATGTAATCTAGATCTTGTATACTTAGTGAAGTCTGTAAAGATTTGTAAAACACAGAATCTCCATGTGAATGTGGATTTATGAAGTTGACCAGTCTAAAAGAAAAAAATGAAAGGGCAGTTCGTTACTATGTTAGCTGAGAAGTTCAAAGTGAAGAAGTTTGCATCTTACAGGAAGGAGTACATTCTTAAGGCAAACCATAAATGAGAAGCCTGTGCCCCATAGTCTATATCTGACCACAAGGCCTTTCAAGTCTGGTCCACTAGTCACTCCTCCCTATGGTTTCCTGATAAGTCACCATTAGCCTACTTTGTGCTGCAGCAGAGGCACTGCTGAGATACTGATCTCCCTGTGTGTTCCATTCCTCTTTCTCAACATTGTTTTCTGCATTCCTGGAAGTTCCCAGCATTCTCCTCAATTGTTCAGCTCTCTTTGAAAGTGTTTAAGTATTTTGAGGAGTCATCAGAGAATGCTGCCATTCTCAGAAAGCTTAGTACACCTTCTCTTCTAAAGCAATCAGTAAGGTGCTTGCAGTCATTCTGGGTCATTTTCATGATTCATGTTTATTTTGATATTATCATACATACATACTTTGGGTCTGAAATAAAAACATTTCCCCTTTCTTAGCATCTGATATTTATTCCACCCTTTTCTCATGTTATCATGCTGTCATGTTATGTGGAAGATCACAAGAGGAAAGAGGCCATGTCTTTTTTTAAAAAAAGAAATTACGTAATTGAGATTTACTGAACTGTTGGAATTCTCAAGGGCTCTGGAGATTCAGTCATAATGGAGGCAACTTCATGGGAGTCTTGAAGCAAACTTATTTTCATACCTAGTCCTCAGGGGATGTTATGTTAAACTGCATATTTTCTGTGTAAACAATAGTTAAAGGAAAGGGTTACAGGGAGATAAGCTCTCTGTGTATTGTGCGCACAGGCATACATGCATAGAATTTTGTGAACAAGATGTGAATGTGGCATTGATCTGCTCAGCCATGGAAAGTTACCCCCTAGGATTGTGACCCTTATGCCCCACCCTTAATGTAGATGCTTACCTGGAACATAATTTCTGAATATTTTCTTTCTGAGTAGACATGAAATAGCACCATTTTAAAAAACTCAGAATAAGTTAATAGTGTATGCCTCAATTGTTTTGAACAGAAATGTTCTAAGTGAATGACATCTATTAAGAGAAGCAAACAGAAATATTAAGTTGAAGATATGAAATATTCACTGCGAATGTAAAAATTAAAACTGAACTATTCATTATCACCTTTCACACACTGTTTCCTGAAGTAGACTGGATAATTGAAAAGGGCCAGCAGAGAAGAGTATTGGGGATTTCTTTTCCCTTCTTTTTGTCCCCAGAACTCTCCATAATAGGTACATGGAACAATGGAGTGTGGTGAATCAGGGGACTCAAAGTGAAACTTATATTAGAAAGATGTATTCTGGAGTTCCACTTCTGTCAAAACAACACCATATGGTAAAGGTACCCATTGATTAGGAGCAATTCTTCCTTTCCAGAATGGGGAAAAATAAATGCTAATCTGTATCTTTAATCAAATTTTTTTCTAAATGCTTTATTATCAGATAAATAGCCCTCCTTCCTGTCTGTGACACAACCACTTTGATGTTACATCTCCACTGATGATAATCTTGATTAGTAATAACTATGTTTCCTGTTAACTACAATTTAGAAACCTGTTCCCAGTCCTACTTTTACTGTTGCTTAATATGGGAACCTGCATCAATAGAGATTTGTTACATACCACAGGAAAAAAATAGGAAATAACCTTTCCTACACAAAGATAGAAGATTTTGTTTTCTTGACTCACATTTTGTTGTAGAATTCATACAGATATATATCTGCAAGGTAGGCATTTCCACATTGCTAACTGAAAAGTTATAAACACACTCCCCAAATTTCAGTTGCTTGCCATGAACAATGGTTGATTTCAACAGATGACAGTATTCTATTGTGTAGTTCCACCTGTACAACAGGAGTGACATCACTGTCGATAGGAAATTCCTACTGATTAAAAGTTTCCTTTTTTATTTCAGGGTATACATGACTTTGTCTCATTGTGTACAGGTGGCCTCTGATTTTTTTTTAAAAAAGGAAGTCTTTAAATCAGATGCAAGCTGCCACTGCTGTCATTCCAGTTGCACAAGCAGAGCTGTGCAACAGGATGATGGCCACAATTTGGCTGGAATAAAAAAAATGTCCCAAGGGATCTGCTGTGTTTTGCCTTTGGGCTCCAGTATTGTGCCATGCCTTTTTTTGGGAAAATGGGAACCATTATGCTCAGAAGCAGAAGAGACATGCTATCTTAGTGATGTGGAGATAGTGTATTTATTTATTTATTATTTATTTATTGTACTTATATACCGTCCCATAGCGCTACAAGCTCTCTCCGGGCGGTTTACAATTTGTAATTATACAGGCTACACATTGCCCCCCCAGCAAGCTGGGTACTCATTTTACCGGCCTCGGAAGGATGGAAGGCTGAGTCAACCTTGAGCCGGCTACCTGGGATTTGAATCCCAGGTCGTGAGCACAGTTTTAGCTGCAGTACAGCGTTTTAACCACTGCGCCACGAGTTCTCAGTGGGTTCAGGAAATACAAGAGATGTACAATTAACCATAACATAACCTTGCTACTGGCAACCAATACCTAGTCACACTTCCTTACAGAATCCAAAGAGAACTAGAAGATGGATGTTGTACAGTGCTGTCATGTGAAAAGTTAATGTCCTCTAGTCTGAGGACACCTGCTATGTGGCTTTAATTTTTGCTGCCATTGCTTTTTGTTTTGGGGGAGGGGGCTAAAGATGTATTTGCAAAAGTTGTATCAGTTGCATTTTGCCATTGGGATACTTTTTGTCTCATTCAATGTACTGATTGGACAAAAAATATTCAGTGTCATTTTGCGGTACACCACAAAGGAGAATTTGGTAGTTTGTCCCTATTCAAGAAGAACACTAGAATTTTCAGTGGGTTCCAGATTTATTTTTTTCTTGTTAAAATCCAGTAGTTAGTCAACTGAAGCTATAGAAAACAAGATTGGTGTTATATTGCTTCTAAAAAAAATTCCTACCCTTCTGTGTTTTTAGTGGGCAGTTTGCAGTAGTAAGGAAATGCCGTGAGAAGAGCACTGGTGCACAGTATGCTGCAAAATTCATCAAGAAACGAAGAACAAAATCAAGCCGTCGGGGAGTGAGTCGAGAGGACATTGAACGAGAAGTAAACATATTAAAAGAAATCCAGCACCCCAATGTGATCACATTGCATGATGTTTATGAAAGTAAAATGGATGTAATTCTTATTCTGGAACTGTAAGTAAAATTACTTCGGTTCTGAAAATTAGAAGTATATATATTTGTAAATGCACCTTTCTACACTACTAAAAGGAACTGTGATACAGATCTCAGTGAAACATGCAGATTCTTAAGAAAAACTACTAGACAAAGAGGAAAAACAAAAAAACTATCCAGAAATATCAATGGTATAATTATTGCAATATTATTGATTACAGACTAGGCAAAAGATTTGCAGCAGAGAATAATTCCATTCTGTGCACACAAACGTTCCACTTAGTTGGAAAAAGTAATGTAATCAAGGAATAATGGTACTTGATGTTTTGAGAACCATACAGTATCTGTTGTGTGTAACTATGGATCATGCTAGTTGCAGCTTATGGAAATTATAGTCCAAAACATATGGGGGGCATTTTTCTCATTGTTCCTCTCCTATCAGAGTTGGCTATATTAGCTTTGGATGTTGTAGCTTTAAACAGTGATATTGTACTGAGACCTAATAGGTTTTAGGTTCTTCAGCCAATAAGTTCTCCGTCTTATACTTCTCTTCCTACTTGTTTTACTTCAAATGATTGGCTGTAACAAAGTACTTTTTGTTTTTCATTAAGTGGCCAATGTGCTCTAATATTCTTCTTTTTATGTGTGTTACAGTTTCTTGGTTTTTCTCATTTGTTTTAGTACTTCTCTGTTGATCACTCTTTCAGTCCAGAAATTCTTGGCATCTTGAGATAAATCCACATATCAAATGCTATTTTCTTTTTTTATATAGTAGCTTTTGTTAAATCCACAATTCCATGCCATATGTGAACCCCAATGTCTTAACTAATGGAAATTCTCTGCTAAATTAACATTGACAGACCTATGCTGCAAGATGTAAGCAGTAAGACTCTGGCAGTTACCTTTGAAAAAAAATTGAGGCAAATGAGTCATTAAACTTATGGTTCTGTAGCATTGACATTTTTCTTTTTGCATTATGCAGATTAATCTCAGACAGATTTCAGGCATTAATGTTCCATATATCTGACTGAAAAGGTTCTCTAAAAGTCTTAGAACTTCTCAACTTTGGGTCCCCAGATGTTGCTCAACTACAGCTCCCAGAAATCCTGGCTAGCAAAGCTAGTGGTTAAGACTTCTGTAAGTTTTAGTCCAAGAACACCTGAGGACCCATGGTTGGGAACCAGTGGTCTGTGTCATCATCTTCTGTTAGCGCCAGTGCTTCTGCTAAAACATCATCAGTTCTAGCAGCTTTGACATTTTTTGTCAGCTATATTGCATGTCAGATTTTTGTATTTCTGTCTCAGTATTGCCTATGTGGCTTTGGGCAAGCTGCCTTAGACGACTGTTGGATAGTGATGTTTCTCAGATACTCTGTTTTGAGGTAAAATCAAGTGTTTAGTGGGTACATTAGAGAGATTTTTTGAAGATAACAGACCAAAAGAGTTTATTGTAACAACTGTCAATAAGAATGCGCTGCCGAGGCAATTCTGATTTATGGCAGTCCTCCAAGGCAGCTTGCCCAAAGCCACATAGGCAGTACTGAGACAGAAATGTTGGGAAAGTGCGAAGGCAAGAGAAGAGGACAGCAGAAGATGAGATGGTTGGACAATGTCATCAAAACTACCAACATGAATTTGACCGGAAGGCAGTAGAAGACAGGAGGGCCTGGCATGCTCATGAGACCTCCTGGGGGTCCCCCGTCACCATGATTGGCGCCTTCAGGCTTTCTTGGGGGGGTAGACCAGACTTACCAGACCAGACTTACCCTCCCCTGGTATGCCCAGTCTACCCACCGGGAAAGCCTGAAGGCAGCAATCGGCAGTGGCGGGGGGACCCCTAGGAGATCTCTGATGGTGGCGGGGAAGCCCTGGGAGACCTCCTGGGGTCCGATTGCGGTGGCGGAAAAGGGCGGGAAATTTAAAATTGCTTCCCTGCCACTGTGATCGGACCCCCAGGAGGTCTCTGATGGCAGCCGGGAAGCCCTGTGACAGCTCCGTTGGCACGTCGCAATGTTTGTAGGTAGGGACGTTTGCAAGTCGAGGTTCCACTGTATTGTTTCCATTTTCTCTTTACTTTTGCCTGATCAGATAATATATTCCACTGTTGTTCTTTCAGTATCTGTAATTGTGGTTTTTGATTCCCTTCAATTTCTTGGATCTTATGGAAGATCTTGTTTTTCATTTTCATTTCATTTTGTTATTTTTCTCTTCTCTTTTTGAGCAGTGATTATTACAATGTGGTTGTCTGTCCCTACATGCAAGTTGCTAAAAAAATTCATAAATAATGAAATCTGTATTTTTGTGACCTATAATGTTGTTTCTCAACAGTTTTAAAGAATTCTGAGGGTTTTCTTTTGACTGCAAGGTTAATCTTTTTGCATTCTTTAATTATATTTCTGGTTACAAGTCACTGTTCTTCTGCTTTGTGATCAATGAAGCTTAGTAAAGCACATATGTTGTTTTCATATTTTAAATTCTTCAGGGATGCTGTTTATATTTTGACACTGTGATTGTTGTTTGTTGTTCATTTTTACTCTGATTTTTGATATGAATAGTTTTCATGTTTAGTACTACAATCCACTCCTGGTCTTGTTTTTGCAGCGAGAATAGAGCTTCATTTCCAATCTGAGGGCCATTTTTTCTATGTCTGTTGGTCTGTTTTTTTAATAGATCTAGTCTCTGTATCTTGAAATAATTCTATTGATTTCTCATTTGCTTCTGCTAATTTGTTTTTTCCAGTTGATTTGAAAGCTCTCTACTTCATTTTCTAAAATTCCAGGTTACTAATTAAGACAAAGTTATTTCATCAGTACAGAGGTGCTGTTTAGGTACCCCCAATTAACTAGAAGTAATGTATAATGTTCATTATAGTAATAGTGTTATTGCCATCTTGCAGGGATTTCCATGTACAGTATACATCCTCCTTGGTGATAGGATGTTTGTGTCATCACTCTCACAGAATTGTATAATTGGTTCACCATTATATATTTCCAGTCTGTATTTTCCAGCAAACTCTCTGCAGACTCTTGTTCCTATCTTAGCATTAAAATCTCCCATTGTGAAATATGTATTTGGTCAGGGAAAATCAGGAAAATTGGTCTGAAGTCAGGAAAAGTCAGGGAAATTATGATTAAAATATATTCAAGCAGTGGATTTTTGACCTGCTTCTGCAAGAGCATGTTTTGTTCTTGTGGCAACTAGAATAGAGAATTAGCAGAATACAAGTAAAACTTAATGTTGCCCTTTCCCAGCTTCACCTTTTTCTCAACTCCTCCCCCAGCAACCAGCCTAATGTGTTTGTTCAGCTCTGTCCCTGCATGATTTCCAAGGTCTGCCTATAGCAGTGGTGGCAAAACTTTTTGGGCTCGTGTGCCCAAACTGGAAAAGTGGCGGCACCGGAAGTGGCGGTGGCAGAACGGGGAATCCCGGGCGTGGAGGTGCCTGGAGACCCCACTCCAGATCCACCGTCAGCACCAGCTGCTCCGGAGCCTGTCTGGGTACAAGCAGCACGGTTGCAGCCGCCTGCTCGGGTTTGACTGGGGGGGGGGAGTAACAATCCGGCGACTTATGGCTCATGTGCCGGCAGAAAGGGCTCCACATGCCAGCTGTGGCACGCATGCCATAGGTTCGCTATCGCTGGCCTATAGCATATGCAAAGCAAGGCTAGTTTAAACATTTAGCAAGATACAAACCTTAAACATCTACTGTTTCCATCCCTACCTGCTAGTATTCCGTTCAATTTATATATAAAGATTTGCATGTTTTGGGGTCATGCTTGTGTATGGAATGGATGTTTTGTCTCATGCTAAAAATGCTATGTCATTTGTTAAGCATTGAGTTTACTTGAATTGAAATTTGTATCTTGGTGTAATTTTTGGTGCAGTTGCAAAACAGATGTTGCTACAGTTAATATCAAAAGAAGCTGATATTAAATCTCTTACTTTGACAAATATTTTTCCAGTTGAGACTTGTGTAATTATAGAGTGGAACATTTCATTAAGACTTGCATTAATGCAACATGACCTATTCATTTTTAACTTGTGGTTATATTTGAATGGTGGTCAAGAAAATTGGAAAAAAGTTAGGGAAAGTCAAGGAAATGAAAAATAAAATTTCAGTGGCAGCCCTGTAACAGCTCTGAATTTGTCATACGAGTTTTTCTGTGCTTTCCTTATGTTTATAAAGATGATATGTGTCAGATTTCCCTTTAATGCAGTGGGTATAGATACATTGCCTTGCTATTTTTCATTTTTTGCTATTTTTGTCTTGCTAAATTTTTATACATTCCATGTGTGACAAAGAATGATATTTCTTTCCATTTCTACTTCAGTAGTCCACTGGTATCTGTTGAATTTGGATGTTCTTTTCATTTTTATATACATTAACACAACGCCACAGTTGTGAAGGGGGCTGGTTTGTACATTCGGAGTATTAAAGTACTTGGCAACATGGCAGAAAGGCTGCCATGGTGGAATATGGCCAGTCAGAAAATAATAGTGTCACAGACCAGATTGGTGAGACAAGAAGATTGGCAACTGAGCCAGGAAGCTAAATACAAGAGATTTGAGAGGCAAACGCCAGAACAGAAAACTACTTTGAATCAATTTTCTTTTCCACCAGAATGCCTGTTTAACAGAAATGTAAACTGACAAGTCTAAAAAGCAAGTAGTTTGAACAGTTGCCTCCCATAAAGAAGAAACACAATGCATGGGAGCGCATGCAGTCTTTCACATACACATTTGCTCTCTTGTGCGCGCACACACACACCACACACACACACATCACACACAAGATATTTATTTAACATAGAAAATAAACACAAGACAATCCCCAGTGTCCTTCCAGAACTCCTTTTCTGGCCCCTGCTGCCAATCCAACCCCTATGCTGGTTCCAGTTGCACCCCCAAACTCCTCTGCTGGCTTTCTAGTAGATTCTCTAAATGGGGTGCTTACCCATAGCCCGGTCCCCCAGTACTCATTCTCTCCCCTCAGCTTTACCAGCCATTGGTTGTGAGGTATCTT